AACCAGGAGCCAGGAGCTTTTCTCAGTTCTCCCATGGCAGTTGCAGGGGCCCAAGGTCTTGAGCTGTCCTCTGCTGCCGTCATCTCACAAGTACCACCATGATCTAAACACCAGATCTTGTCTGGAGATAATAGCAAGTATATTTATATATAGCAATGTGAAGATAATGACAGTTACAGAACTCTAGCACAAATTAAAAACTTTATATATCCTGTTTTCTGTGTCTCAATAAAATGTTTACAGTCCCCAATAATAACTTGTTTGCCGAGTAATTTCTGTGGACTAGATGTTCTTCCAGCTTTATTTAAATTATCCGTTAGGAACTTTACCAAACCCGTTGAGGATCACTGTCACCATCATTTTATGTTTTGGTGAGGAAACTGATATTCAGACAGGTTATCGATCCTGATTAAAATCACACAGTTAGTACACTACTTGGAAACCATCTGTCCAGTTCTGAAGCCGGTGCCCTCTATCGATAAGCAGTACTGCCCTGTTTACACCTTTGGAGTGCCAGTCCTAAGCACAACTCGTGCCTGGGGCATTTCCCATCGAGGGGCTGAAGAGCTGAGTGAGTGTTTTTGTAGATGTCTCAGCTCTCCGTGATTCTAGTACTGTATGGGTTTTTGCCCTGGTAGTTTTATTCTGGTAGTTGTACTCAGACCCTATTGCTCCCTTTTGAGATACGTGACTGCTATCCCCAGTAGCTAGATTTCTGGATATGTTTTGTACTGAATTCTCTCCCTACATTTAGTTAGAATGGCTATGTCTCAATTCTCATAAAACAAGATCAGAATCTCCTCTAAAGGAAGTTACACTTTTCTGCTTCTTTGTTAAGGCAATAGATTTCAAAGAAAAAAACAGCTATGAGGACTAACCTAGTCTGCTGTAATGATAACATTGCATGATAACAGGATTACCATGTAGTCTGCAGCCAAGTTTTTACCAAGGTTCTCCCCTCAGATTCTTTTCCTCTTGCCCACCCTCCACGCACTCCTTAGCCACCTTTTCCCTTTATCCTGTCCCGTCTTTGTGGCAGAGAAGCCTGTTCCTGTGCAAGGATACATGCTTTTGTAGAGGCAGATTTGCCTTGCATTCTTTGTGCCTTTTTAAATTTTATGACCTTGATCAAGCTATTTAATATTTTATCATTCATAAAATATACAGATACTGGTTTGTGACTTGCAGGATTATTGTTAAAACTGTGGAAACTATGTTCATAAAATTTCTGGTACAAGGTAGGTCCCCATGAGAAAGATTTTTTCCCTCCCACTATCTGTTGATATTTGTTAAATGTTCATTAATGTCTAGTCTCTGTTAGACTACTGTGAATGCTAAAGAGATCACTAAAACCAAAGCCAAAATCTCCGAGTTCAGGAGTTGCATGGTGTGAAAGGGAATCTTGACATGTAAATGAATCAGAACTGAATGTGCTCAGTGTAGTAGTGGTTAATATAGGTGGTAGAAGCAATTACTTTTTCTAGTGCTGTCTGTGGAGTGGTTTCTAAGTATTTCCTTTGGAAAAAATACTTGGTAGCTAAGATAGGGTCAAAGAGAAAAGAAGTAAAGAGGAAAAAAAAAAACCTTACAGGATTCTGTGATCTTTAAGGTACAATCTTTTAAGATTATTTTAGCAAGGCATTTGATAAAATCTGTCTTTGGGTCCTTGTATATAAGTGAGAGAAGTGTAGGCCAGCTGATAGTAGAGTAAGAGGTGGATTTGAAGCTGGTTTTCCAACTGTGTCCTGAAAATGTTTCTTTTTCTCACAAAATCTTTTGAGTTAGATGAAACTTTAGAAATAGGTCCTATATTAAGTTTTAATTCAACAGTTCCAAAAAGTGTATGGTGAAAAATTTGTCTCCTCCCTCTTCCAATCCCTGGAAAGAGACACGTGTCCTTATCATCTTCTGGGGCAAACGTGCCATTAGTTGCTTGTACATGTGAGCTTGTTTTTCAGCACATACCTCTGCCTACTTCGTGCTGTAGTTACTCGAGTGCATGTGTTGTCTGCCTTGGACAACGGTAGCTTCTGAAGAACAAGAACCCTGCCTTGTAACCTCCTGTCTTCCCAGATTGTTTACACGTTGAAGATTCTCAGCAAATATTTGTTTGATGAGTTATTAAAGACAAAGCTACCCAGAGAAAAGAAACTTCTGAGTAACATCTCACAGTGTGTGTCCTTGGCCACATCATTTGGAATTATTTTTCACCAGTGAGTTGGATGAAGATGTAGAAAGCATTTTCTTACCATATTTGGAAAAGAGAACCTGTAGCAACAGAGTCACTGTCCTGGCTACATGTGATTTCAACAAACTGGAGTGTTCAGCTGAAAGGAACAGCAACAAAAACAAAATCCTGCATTTAGGGCAAGAAAATTACATAACATTCTGTTCCTTTAATGTAGAATTAAGAAATCTGTCTTGATAACAGATGATTTGGGAGGGTAAGAGATGAAGCTTAATAAAGCAAGTATAGCTTTGACTGAATTAGTGGATTATGAACCTAGATGGAATAGCTCATGAATCTTCTCTTTACTGGTCAGACTGAGTATTGGGTTCAGTTTGGTGTTCAAAAGAAAACAAAACAAATTGGATGGCGTTTAGAAAAGAGAAGCCGTTAACATGGATAGCAGGGGGTTGTTAACCAGATGTGATACCTAGTGAAATTTTAATCCTTTGTGTTTGTTTGTTTCAGTGCAGTTAAAATGGGGATAAGTAGTAACAGCAATTGGGAGAATCACATAAGGATTAGATATGCTCAAACCTTTCAAAAGGCTCCGCCATCTGAGTGTTTTCTAGAGGTTGGCTTAGCGAGTAGATAGCTATGATCTATCCTTTGAAGTAGGCTGCATTTTAGTTGCAGACAAGCAAGGAGATTAGGATTACAATGTAGTTTGTTGAGCATTGAAGAGGTGACTTGTGGAAAAGGTAGTAAATATATTCATAATGCCTCTCTGCAGGTTAAGATTTGCTGTCTAGAGGAGGGAATGACTTCCCTTTAGTGAAAAAACTATAGTCAAGTTGAAATGATTATTTGTCAGGGATGTTTATGGAAGACTTTTTTTTTATGAGTAGGAGTTTGGATTAGAAGGCTAGGCAAGTGGGTCCTGTGTTGTGGAATTGCAAATTAAGTCAGTGCCTGCAGTACCAGCAGCATCTCATATGGGAGCCAGTTCAAGTCTCAGCTGTTTCACTTCCAGCCCAGCTCTGCTAATGCTCCAGGAAAACAAAGGAAAATGGCCCAGATCATTGGGTCATACATACATGTGGGAGACCTGGAAGAAGCTCCTGGCTCTTGGCTTCACTTGGCCCAGCCGTAGCTATTGCAGTCGTTTGGGGAATGAACCAGCAAATGGAAGCTCTCTGTCTCCTCACTTTGCCCCCATACCTCTGCCTCTCAGATAAGTAGAGTAAAAGAAAAAGAAGTTGGCTAGGTAGACTAGGACTAATTGTAGACCAAATTCTACCAGGTACGAGCTATTTTTAATAATTTTATTGGCTCTTGGCTACACCCATTTGTTTCCATGTAGTCTGTGGCATCTTTCTTATTACAGTGTTAAAGTTGAATACTTATGACAAAGATCATATGGTCTGCTGAGTCCAAAATACCAGCATACTATGTGGTTTGCTGATCCCTTGAACTAAATAAATGTTTCACAATGTATGTCACAAACTTGTGAAGATTTTGAGTTGAAGTTAACCAGGGTTTGGTGTGAAGTGGTCATAGGTTTTTTTTTGTTTTGTTTTGTAATTGCAAAGAATGAAGACTGAAACATACTTGGTAAAATGATCTCCAAGATCCCTGAAGAGGTTATAATTTTGTAACATAAACAGACATCTTTTTTCTGCATGAAGTAATGTATTTGTATATCATCTGGGCTCTCTCTCTACTCACTGGAATTGGGAGGTGGTCCTGTTGTAGAGAAAAAGACTAGTTGTGGGTAACTGTTCAAAGTTGTTGAAACTGTTCACTTGCAGCTGGAATACTTTTTAAAGATTCATTTGTTTAAAAATTAGAGAGAAAAACAGAGAAAGGGAGATATCCTCCATCTACTGGTTCAGTTCCCAAATGGTATCAAACCCTGGAGCCTGAAGTTCTGGGTCTCCCATATGGATGACAGGTGTGTAAGCACTTTGGCCATCTTTTGCTACCTTCTCAAGTGCATTAGCAGGCAACTGAATTGGAAATACAGCATAGGGTCAGCACCATGGCATACCAGGCTAAGCCCCTGCCTGAGGTGTCAGTGTCTCATACAGGTGCCAGTTCCAATGCTAGCAGCTCCACTTATGATCCAGGTCATTGGTAATGGCATAGGAAGGAAGTGGAGGATGGCTCGAGTCCTTGGGCTCCTGCACCCGTATGGGGGAGCTAGGGAAAGATCTTTGGTTCTGATTTTGGACCAGCCTCAGCACTGGCTGTATCAACCATTTGGGGAGTGAACCAGCAGATGGTAGATCTCTCTCTCTCCCCCAAGAAAAACTAAATAAATCTTAAGAAAGGAAGAAGAAACATAGCAGCTGGGATTTAAACCTTTGCCCATATGGGATGCAGGGAGCAACTTAACTCACTAAGCCAACTCCTCAATATTTTGGAACTTATGTAGGTAACTCAGATGTAGCTATCATTGCTGTGTTTTATAGTTTCTTATTAGAATGTGTGTCATACCAGACAGAATTTTGACTGGGAAATTTTGACTATCCCTGAGTGTTTCAAATTGGAGGAAATCCCAAAGAAATCTTTCTTGGTGTAAACTACTTACAGCTCTCATGGCTTTTAGGAAATAAGGGAAAGTCTTGTGGCAGTCAGTTTTGGTACATGTATTAGAGGTGTTAGTCCCGTTACTACAAAGGTTGAGACTTCTCAGAGGTTTAAACTTTGTTCTTTTTTTTGTGTACATTTTATCATTTGTATTCAAAGTTTACTGCCAGCTTATTTATATATATATCTTCTCCTCTTACTTCCCTATCCTTCCTTTGCTCTTTCCTTCCCTGATTGGAAGTGTTGACTCGGAGACAAAAAGAGGCCAAGAGCAAGCCTGGCAGTGGGAGAACTACTCAGACTTACCATGACGTTGACAAGTAAGTAAATGGGCAGTGTTCCTGTCTTACTCTGTATTTCTTTGACTTGTCAATCACTTTATTGCTTGAGGGACCTAATTGGTGTTTTTGGACCGCACGGTCTTGGGCCATTCTCAGATGCGTTCCCAGACCATTAGCAGGGATCTGGATCAGAAGTGGAGCAGCCAGGACTTGAATTAGTGCCCATATTGGATGCTGGCACCATAAGCAGAGGATTATTTGCTGTGCCACTGGATTGGCCCGATACTTTACATTATGTTGAAGTAATTTTTTTATAGGTTTATATGTCCCTGGATAGTCTGTAAACCATTTGGAGGCAGATGCCTGCTTTAATTCATGTTTATATCTCCAACATCCATTAGAATATATCTGATAGAGCAATAACAATAATAGCTCTTTTTGCTCATCAGTATTGCATGCCAGTCACTGGGCCATATGTGTTATTTGCCTTATGATGCTCACATTAGTGGATAGACTAATTATCCATTTTTACTTTTAAAAATAAGCTGTAGTGAAATTATAGAGAACTGGTTAAGATCACATGGCTGGAAGAAGCCAAGCCTACTTGACTGCGAAGTCTTGCTCCTTTTGCAGAAGTGTCCATCATGCAGGATGTAATTTTATAAATATTTCTGCAATAATTGATAAACCTTGAAAGCTATACTGGTTTGGTTTTCCTTGTAAGGCAGAATTTTGCTTGCATTCTTCCAGGTAATTAAGTGCTTGAGAGAAATGTATTTTGCCTATTTTAAAGACCTCCAGATAAATTGTTACTGATTGCTAATCTGAGTCTCTCTTGCTGTAGTTACTGAGCTACCACGTTACTGTGGTTGGAAAGAGAAGATTAAGATAGCATGCTTTGGAAAGATTTTCTACCTTCTTAAAAAGAAGATGCTCTTAAGATTCAGATATGTCTGTGTTCTGACAATTGTTAGGACCTTGGGGGAATAGTTCTTAATACAGCTTGCTAGGTTTAATTGAGAAATTGTGCTCAAAGGGCCTTCCATGGAGAAAATACTTAATAATAAATGTTCCTTTTCTTTTCTCCAAATAGTTTCATTTTTACTGATACCCAGCAAGTATTACCTCAGAGGTACACTTTCCTCTCTTTCCCCAAACTCTGCTGTTATAAAAAGGCAGAAATAATTGAGTGTATGAAATTAAGGAAAAAACTTTGGCAGAACCACCTGTTAGTAACTTCCTAGTTGATGTTGCAGGTTGTGGAATTAAGGAAGTCCGCATACAGATAGACTTGATCTGCTAATCAGTCAAGTTCATCCACTCTGGTAAAAATGTCATCTTCATTTAATTCTCCTGGTACTCCCTTTTCTGTTGAAATTTTAACTTCTTGAAAAAGCTAATGCACTTAATTTCAGAAGAGTTTTATAGAATATTTTATGTCTGAAGAGCAATCAGCATTGTTTGAGGTAGTTACAAGAGCTGATTTCATTACCATCCCACTGCTGCCAACAGCAGGATGCAGAGAAACAGCCAGAAAACTGCTAATCACTCAGTCCTTTTGATTGGCATCGAATTGGTTTTATTGGTGATCCTGCTGAGCACAACTACATCGGTTGACATGTCTTGTTGCAGAAGAGAGGTGGAAACACAATTTGAAATATATCTAGGAGCCCAGAGACAAAAGTGAATCTTACAGACTGCTTTTTCTCCCACTCTTTGGGTTGGCTAGGAATGAGAAGTGTTATCTCTGTAAAGCCTTGGTGCCATTAAGCGAGTATCAGTGCCATGTGGACTCCTGCCTGCAGCGTGCAAGGGGGAACCAAGGAGACGGGCCTGGAAGGAGCAGTGCAGTGTACTCACCCAAGGAGGGCAAGCGGCAGCCGCGGCTGAGAAACCCGAAGGTATGTGTGGAGTACTTTGGGAAAAGCTACCTGACCGTCCTGATGCTCAGTTTTTAAGAGGCTGCAATTCTGTTGTATTACTCAGGTAGTTGTTTAAACCATTCTCATATTATTGAATATTTAGGTTCTTTCCATTTTGTCAGTATTACAAGACAACCAGTCTTTGTGACATTCAGTATATCTTTACAAAAGATCTCTTAAAAGTAAAATTTGTAAAGTTTTTTGAAACATTCTGCCAAATTACTTTTTCTCTGCCAGCAACATAATATAAGATGAGCTCTGTTGACTTCCTTGTGAGGATAGTCTTGAGAGAATGCAAAATCTTGACCCTGGTGACTGAGAAGAAATCTTAGCTTAGCGATCAAAGATAAGGCAACAAATCCATATTCCGTAGGATTACTAACAGCAGTCAACTTTGTATATGAAGATGGGAAGCCATTGCTTGTAATGCCAGAAAACAGAGACCTCCTGTGAGTCCATGACTCTAAGTGGTGATCGGGATTGGGATTTTTATGTTATTTATCCCGTCAAGCCAGTTTGCTCTTCTGACATTATTGCCTCAAGAAGCTATCTTGAAGCTGCTATTTTTCTCTTACAAATCTCCCATTGGTCAGAGACTGCTGTTCCGTGGTGTAATTTTTGTGGGCTGTTTTTGCTGGACTCCATTACCCATTCTTGGGTAATATTCTTGGCAGAGATCATTCTCTTCACTACAAGGTTTGTTTGTTTGTTTGCTTGGTTGTGTATACTTGTTCATTAGAAAATGAAAAACTTCCCTGGAGCTGTACCTGAGAAACAGGTACAGCTTTGTCTTCTAGAAACAGATATGGTCTGTTATGAACTCCCTACCAAGAAATGATCTTATCATTGATTTTTCTGTTACAGAAAAAAGGCCGACTCCTCAGTCTGTTGGAACAGTCAGAAAACAAGGAACAGCCCGAGCCCAAGACTGCAGGTGAGGTCTCCAGGACCAGTGTGTGAGCTCTGGGTAAGGTCTTCCAGTGGAAACAGCTGCTAACAATGCCGTGACTATTTGTTGAGGTTATGTGAGTGAGTGACTCATTCTGCCAGCTTTTGAGACTCACTCGAGATTATCATTCCTTAAGCAAGAGACACTATCATACTAAACATGTGTTTAATTTCAGACTTTATAAAGCCTAGGATTAGACTACCTGTTTAACTGGCCAGAAAAAACAAAAAGCCCAGATGAGAGGGGAATGACACAGGCTGCCTAAGTGTCTCTTCTGAAGGAGCAGGTGTGGGAAGCGAGCATGTCAGCAGAGCAGATTCAGACTCCTCCTCGTGTTCCACCTTTAGCTTTGTGTGCCAGCCTACCTGAAGGATTGTAGGAAATAAATGCATTTCTTTGAGCCCAGTATTTAGGGGCAGTCGTAGATTTGGTCAGGGCCATTGCCTACATAGGAATACCACTTCCTAGATTGTGAGACTCCTATCTAGTAAAGCTCCAGACATATTCCATGGCAGAATTAAGATCTAGATAAATGCTAGCTGCTGTTACCATTATTAATTGCCATGATTAAAATTCACCAGTGATGTTAAAATTTACCAGATGTGAAGGGATAAGGAGTTTTTGCTCTAGTCTGTTGAGATTTGCTTATTGTCTACTTCTAATGATTCATTCCCACCAAGCAATCTGTTGTCTTCTAATACCTACTTTAAAAAAGCAGACTCTCCAACCCTCCTAACCTGCTGCCTGCAGATCTCTAGGTTGTGACTCTTGCAGGCGACAAATTTCTCTTGGCAACTTCTTGCTCTGTAAGTCCAGATTGGAAGTAGATTGATTCATAGGTTTTTCATTCTAAAGTGATTGTTCCAACACGTTTGTTAGCCAAGCCTATTGGATGCTAATGCTCACCTTCATGGTAACAGGTTAATGAAAGGCAGTACGTAGAACACAGGAAGTACTAGAGTGATGAGAGGTGATGTGATTACAGCATTGCAGCCAGCACTGTAACTTTGTCTCTCTGTTACAGATGCAGAGATAAAGACCAGGTCTTCAGAATCAGGAGCTTTCAGGTGAATTGAGATGTACTCTGAAGTATTGCTTGTCCTGTGTTGTGTGATATTTAAAAAAAATTTTAATATATTTTATTTGAAAGGCAGATTTACAGAGATATCTTATAACTGCTGGCTCACTCCCTAAATGGCCACAGTGGGCAAAGCTGAGCTGATCTGAAGCCAGGAGCCAGGAGCCTCCTCTAGGTCTCCCACGTGGGTGGAGGGGCCTACGGACTTGAGCCATCCCCTGCTGCATTCCCAGGACACAAGCAGGGAGTTGAATTGGAAATGAAATAGTCAGGACAGAAACTGGCACCCTTATGCCAGCACTCTGTAGGTAGAGAATTAGCCTGATATGCCACTGCACTGATCTCAAATATTGAGACCAACTGTAGAATTATTGCGACCTTTCTTTCTCTGTATAACTCTCTCACCCACACATGTCTCTTCCAAGAATTGAATAACCATCTCAGTGGACTTACAGTGTTAAAATAGCACAGCAGAAGCCATGGCTTACTCCCCTGAACTTCTTTTTTTTTTTTTTTTTTTTTTTTTTACAGCCAACACTAGTCTTCTGACCTAGATTTCAGACAGCCTGGGGTTAGGGTCTGCATGCTCATTCCTCCATATGTAACTGTGTAGTTCCAGGTATACGATTTACCAAGTGTCCTCATTTATGAAATGAAGCAATGGTACTCACCTGGTTGGATTGTTACAAAGGTTATGTGTGCTGACAACGTAGATAAAAGCCCGGACAGAGTGCATACCATATGCTGAATGTGAACTTTACCTTTTCCGCAGGGTATCCTCAGCAGCACTGGAAGAGGCAAGCTGCAGCAGAGTGACGCATCCCTCTACAAATCTTGATTTAAATGAGTCTCCCATCAAGTCTTTTGTTTCTGTTTCAGAAGCCACAGATTGCTTAGTAGACTTTAAAAAGCAACTTACTGTCCGCACAGGTAGCCAGACTCAGACCAAAGCAGGCAGAGGAAGGAGGAGAAAATCCTGAATTTCTGAAGTTCAAAAGTTGACAAAACCATTAGCAATAGGGATAGGCCATGTTCATTCAGTTATATTGGCCTACAATTTATTGTTGAACAAGTTCCAGCCCTGAAGTTTTCATCACCAGCACCCACTGAATATCCCGGTTTTTATGTTTTGTATGATCTACACAGACAACTGTGTATAGTGTTCTGTTTTATAGCAATCTTCTGAATTTGCTTACAGTTAAAAGAAAAGTTAAATATATTTATGTTTGTATGAAATCTTATTTCTGCAGATGGAGATTTCTCGTTCTTCTGTATTACAGGGTTTGAGATGGGGATATTTTAATTTTAGAGGTAGTTTTCTGAATGAATTCTATGACTGATCTTCGACCTGCCACCTGTATTCACTGAGTGTGTGGTGTACGATTCTGAACACTGTGTGGTTACTCCCTTGACCATTTCTGACATCATTTAGAAAGTTGCTAGGGACACTGAGTCCTTCTACTTACTCTGTCTCTGCCATTCATTGACCTGTTACTTTATCTCGCTGTTCTCAGCCAGCTGAGGGTCTCAGTCACAGCATAGAACCTTTGAGATCCTATTCTTCTTCTTCTTTTATTTTATTTCATTAAAGTTTATTTAAAAGGTGAGGAGATCACCAACATGCGTGGGCCGGTAGTGGAGTGTGACGGGATGGGAGAGGTGGGGGACTCATGCGGGTGCCTTCCATCATGTGTCCATGCGGAGGGAGATTGTCCCCCTGTGTTGCCAGTCTTCATATGAGCCTGGGAGGGAGAGTAGTTTCATGATACCGCCCGACCTTCCCATGAGGGGAGGTATGTCCGGGGAGGGAACACTTGATAGGTGGAATTCACATGCTTGTGGGGAGGGGAGTGAGGCTTCCAGCTTTAACTCTTAGCTAGCTACCTACCTATCTGATTCATTTTCCTCTCAGAGTTTCTGACCCTTAATCTGAGAGTTGCTGAAGGGTGTGGTTTTGTCACATCTTCTGGAGTTACTTCCTGCTGATTAAGGGCATTGTAACGTGCCTGTCCTGGGTTTGGAACTCTTATCTCCTCTAATGGATCCCTTTCATGAGTTGGAGATTTTCAGTGTCATTAGCTATGTCCTCATATCTTCATCTTCGCTCTGTTACTACCTTCTTTGTACAGGAGTTGTAAACATAAGTGGCTTAATTGTGCAAGGTGTGTGCTGAGACCAGACAACACGTTTATGGCATCTGATTCCTGAGATTAAAAATCCTGTTGTATCTGAGATGACCATGAGATAAGATCAGGGGCTGGGCTCACAGCCTGGCCCGGGAGGCACCTAGTGGTATCAGCAGCCCTTCGTGCCCTCAGTCACATACCCCAGTATGGAAGGCACAGTGGGCTGCCACCACAGGCAGCTGTCCAAGCCCAGCTCACAGTGCAGCACGCCTACCATTCTTTTCAGGAGTTTGTAACGGAACACTTCCTGTTATTATCCCCCCAACAACAACAAAAAAGAAACAGTGGTGTTGCCAGGCATAGTCATCTGCTCAAACCAAGATTGATGTTTTGCTGCCAAAAGTCATAGCAGTCACAGGTTCTGGAGTAGTACCTGCTCTCTGCCGCATTGCCCGAGCACTTCCAAGGCAGAAGTGAGAGACGGTCTGCAGTGCATGGACATGCTTGAGAGGAGAGAGGTTGTCAGTGAGCAGCTAGCAGAGGGAGATGATCTAACAGCATGTTAAGAAAACTGGCCAACACTGATTTGAAGGTGTAATGAAAAATGGTATGGGGTGACTTTTGACCAGGAAAAGAGCATGGGCCAAAGTTACCATTTTCCTCTATTTTGAAAGGAAAAATGAAGTGTAAGACATGAGAGCTGAAACGTAAGACACAGTACAGGAATTAAAGCTTTGTTTGTCCTTTGCTCTAACTTAGAAGAAGGCAAGATAGCAGGCTTATTGTCCATTCCTTCAATTCATAGTGTCTTACGTTGTGGTACTGATACTGAGACCTGTATCATGTAATAGCTGTTCTTTTTGAACAAATGTTGCATTTCAGACCTTGTATAGTCTTTGTGCAGTTGTCCTGGCCCCTCATAGGGTGTTGGGGGTCCCTCTTGTGGGGACCAGGACTTGAGGTGTGACATGCCAAGAAGAATCGGGACACAGGGGATGCAAAGGCAAGATGAATCAGTGCACCCTTTATTGAGTTTTTCTGGGCATCTTTATACTAAGATTTTTGCAGGGCAAGCAGGCAGGTAAAAGTTACTAGTTAACTGAACAGTAGCAACAAGCCCTTCCAAGGAGAGATCACAGGAATTTGGGAAGCAGTCACATGAGATGCAGGAACCGATACTGGTAAACAATTTTACAAAAAGGAACATAAAAAAACTTTGTTTATACTCAGATATGTTTAGGCCACAAGCACTAAAGGAAAAAGAGATAGTGAGGTGCTGTACACATCCCCAGTCAGCAAGCCGGAAGTCTGCTTCCCGCAGCATTCCCAGTCTGCTGAGAACATCTCGTTCCTCGAGCATCCAGTGATCTGGTTCAGCGGGCAAATATCCCCACAATTCCTCCCTGTTTATTCCCTAGAACCAAGAATGGCCAGCTGTATCTCAGCAGTGTGTATCTGAGCAGCAGGTTTCATTTTTGAGTGGATAAAGGTAAATCCTCAAATGAAAAGGATTAACAAAATAATTAAAAGTACTATGGACATGCTAACACCGTTATACTTTGTACACATGCTTTAGGGTCTAAACCTGGAAGTTTATCAGCCAACAGTTGAACAAGATTGTCCAAATCAGTGTGAGGCATTTCTTGCTTAAAAGCCTTCTCTATGCCTAGGTGGCCTAGCGGCTAAAGTCCTTGCCTTGAATGTGTCAGGATCCCATATGACCGTCGGTTCTTTTTTTTTTAATTGTTAATCACATTGTATTATGTGATACAGTTTTATAGGCACTGGGATTTCCCCTACCCCTCCCACAACCCAACCCCCATGGTGGATTCCTCCACCTTGCTGCATATTCACAGTTGAAGTTCAATTGGGATTCATTCATTGCATGCATATATACCTAGCATAGAGTTCAGCATCTTATTGTCCAGATAAGTTCAGCGGTTTCTAGGGGAGACCTTCTCTGGTCTGAAGGTAGAGCTAACAGAGTAAAGTCCTGGTTGGTTAAAAGCCCCTACAAAAATGACCGTCGGTTCTAATCCCGGTAGCTCCACTTCCCATCCAGCTCCCTGCTTGTGGCCTGGGAAAGCAGTCGAGGACGGCCCAAAGCCTTAGGATCCTGCACCCACATGGGAGACCTAGAAGAGGTTCCTGGTTCCTGGCTTTGGGTCAGCACAGCACCGTCTGTTGTGGTCACTTGGAGAGTGAATCATCGGACAGAAGATCTTCCTCTGTCTCCTCCTGTCTATATATCTGACATTGCAATAGAAATAATTTTTTTTTTTAAAAAGCCGCCTCTACTTCATTTTCTAATTTAATTATATCTAATTAATTATTGCCCAATTTGCCATCCAGATGGAACTGGATTTGTTCCCATTGAACCTGTGATTGGTTAAAATGATAGAGGGTAATACAAAACTGAGTAGCTTTCCAATCACGCATCATCATAACCTCTCACTGCAATTCTTGCTACTTTATCCAATACATCCCCTGACAGATAACCTGAAGTTCTCCATGATTTTCTTGATCGATGTGGGTTTGAGCTTGCCACAGTTAATGTGACTCTTCATGCCAATTTTCTACAAATTGCTTAGTTTAAATAGCCTCTTTTAATACTATCCCTGAAACAGCAGCAAGAGTAGCCATAGCAATATATCCTGTATGGTAGTAGCTATAAGAATATCTGTAAATCATAGCAAAACATGGAAACAATCCGGATGTGCGTTCAAGGAAGAGTGGTTAAACTGTGGCACATCTAGTCTGTGGAATATTATTCAGCTATTAAGAAGAATGAAATGATACTATTTACAGACAGGTGGTCCCACCTAGAGAATATTATGCTCAGTGAAATGAGTCAATCACAAAAGAACAAATACCATATGTTGTGTCTTATATAAGGAAACCAACATGGAAAGTCTAACTTCAGTAACCCATACTAACTTCTAATCCATACTGGTTTTTTTCTTTTTTTTGGTTGTTTGCTTTTTTGGTTGTATTCCATGTGTTTTGATGTTTTTATTACAGTTTGGTTTATTCCAAATTTTAAAAAAAGAATATCTAAATCTTTTTTGAATAGCAAAGTATATGTTGAAATAAGCAATGTTAACCCCTCAGTGGCTGAACTCTTCCCAAGGGCAAATAAGATTAACAGGTAGCCACTGATATTGACGCGGGTTTAAGCATCATAGTAGAATCCCAGGAAACATTAAACATGACCCTAGGATTAAAGCAATATACCATCGCTAATGGGAACAATTTACAACATCATTTGTAACAGAGGTAACGCCTACCATAATAACCAAAGGAAAATAAGCAGAAACAAAGGCTAACAAGTACAGTTGTGACTAGAAGTGAATTTAAAAGTCCCGTTGGACAAAGTAACTGGAGAGAATGTAGCAGCCGACTTCCAGAGATGATGTCCTGGCCGTAGACAGAAATCTGAAGTCAAAGCAGCACGCCACTGAAGCCTCCAGTAGCCCATGCAAGTAATCCAATTCCAGTGATGTTATTCAACATTGTGGTGTCCTGGAAACTACAGTCTCACTCCATTCAGAGCAGTCATTCAGAAAAACACCATCAGATCCCCAATCATACCAGGTATGTCCACTTAATTGTATTTTCTTGCTGTAAATGCTATTACAGTTCTCCCAAGGCACTCCAGCATAGTCCAAGTTGCGATAGGAAAACTTTACACTTCTGAAGAAAAGGGCGTCCGTCAGAAGAGGAAGAATCACCCCAATTTCGGGCCCGGCACAGTGGCGCAGTGGTTAAGGTCCTCGCCTTGCATGCCCGGGATCCCATATGGGCGCTGGTTCTAATCCCAGCAGCCCCGCTTCCCTTCCAGCTCCCTGCCTGTGGCCTGGGAAAGCAGTCGAGGATGGCCCAAAGCTTTGGGACCCTGCACCCGCGTGGGAGACCCGGAAGAGGCTCCTGGCTTCGGATCAGCATAGCATCGGCCGTTGCGGCTCACTTGGGGAGTGAATCATTGGACGGAAGATCTTCCTCTCTCTCTCTCCTCTCTGTATATCCGCCTTTCCAATAAAAAAAAAATAATAAAAATAAATCTTAAAAAAATAAAAAAGAATCACCCCAATTTCCCTGTGAAGAGAGGGCTGATAAGCATATTAACCTAGTTTTGCTGTTACCACCAGGAGAGAGCCAGTGTTGTGGTGCCAAATGATAGCAGGGAGGTTGTCTTAAACAAATGGGAGGATTGG